CCCTTAGGTGAGATAACTTCTCGTATCTAATGTAATAAGTCTCTGGGCTATTCTCAAACTTTGCTCTATGATAAAGGTAAAGCTTTCACACGAGATTTGTATTCTCAGAAGAAAATGCTTTTTGATTTTCTGGAACAGGGTCCTTTGGCTTGGGTTTTTGGAGTTGATCATTTACAACACTTGAACTGACAGACCAGAAAGTCAATCACACAGGGGTTTATCACAAGGCTTGTCTCCACTCCCCAAGATAAATTTCAAAAGTCACTGAAAGAGTAAAATAGTATCAAAATCCCAGGAACTCTGTGAAACTCTCATAGAACAGCCTCCGACATATGGGCTATTATTAAATATGGTAGAAAAATTGATTCAACAATGCTCATCCAGGCTTTTCAGGCATTAATCATATTCCAGGTATTTGAAGAGATTCAGTCACTCCAAAATTCTCTCTGTAAGGGTCCAAAAGACATTCATGCTCAAATTTGGTAAATGTCCTGAGTTTGCAGTGTCATAGGATGCAAGGAAACCTCCCTTTCTAGCCTTCAGGTAAAATTACACTATCTGTGAGGGTATGGTTGATGGAGGGAAGAGAGGGAGAAGGGTCCATATTTTGAAAAAGCTGTCCATAACCAGGTAGTAGATGTTCAAGAACCCTTGGCTCTTTGTGCTTCTTCCCCCAACTAGGTAGTATGTTTTGGGGCTCAAGAGCTCCCCTGATTGTTCTTTTGTATTCTCTCATAGCGCTCCACAAAGTAAACACTCAATAATAATTTACTGATGAATTACTCTGTAGGATACCAATAAATGGAGAGAGGACTTCAATTATCCTCACATCTCTCTCTGTCTCTATGTATGTTTCTCTTTCCCAAAAGCAGAGCGGCTAACAACTTCTTGATTTGCCTTGCTGATAATTTAATACTTCAATGACAGGGAAAATAAGGGGGGGGGATTATATTCCAGATCTAATTCTTACTAGTAGGGAGGAAATGATTGCTGAGGTGGAAATGATGAGAACTCTGGGAAGAAGTAACCACTCTTTGCAGTCTAGAATGTGATAAAGATCCACTGGAGAAGGAAATAGCAAGTATCTCTGCCAAGAAAACCCCATATAGGGTCACAAAGAGTAGGACATGACTGAACTACTCAACAACAACAACAATATGATAAAGGAGAAGAAATGTGGATATAGGGTGAAATGCACATTAGATTTTAAGAAAGCAGAGTTCAAAGAGTTCAGCGGAAAGCAGAAACCCTTAGACCAAAATTCAAATGAGGGAAAATTCAGGAATGATGGGATCTTGACTTTGATTCTTAAGGAAATTTTAGAATAGATCTTTAAAGAGATGGTCAGTAAACATTTAGAAAGGAAAGCAGTGTTTACAATGGGTTAATATGCTATTGTCAAGAACAGATCACATTAGAATAATCTTATGTCTGTTTTTTGATAGGGTTACTACAAAGGTATATGAGGAGAATGCTACAGATTCAGTTTACTTAGATTTTAGCAAAGCTTTTGATCAAGTGTCTCATGCCATTCTTATAGATAACCTGAAGAAATATAGTTAAATGGATTCAGAAAGAGTTGAATGACAGGACTCAGAACAGTGAATAATGCTTTAATATCAATGTGGAAGGTCTCCAAGTACCCCAGGAATCTGTGCTTAGTCCTGTGTTGTTTACCATTTTTATCAGTGACTTGTATACAGGCATAGATAGCATGTTCATCACATTTGCAAAAGACATCAAGCTGAGAGGGATAGTTAACACAATGGATGGAAGAGTCAGGATCAAAAAGGACCTTCACAGATTGGGCTACTGGGCTGAATCTAATAAGGTGAATTTTGTTACAGATAGATGTAAAGTCTTACAATGGATACAAAATCAGCATCCCAAGCACAAGATGGGAGTTTGAAAAAGTTCTGGGTGTTTGAGTGGATGTCAGGGTCAAGATAGCAGCAGTGTGATGTGTCAGTCAAGAAACTTGAGGCTGCATTGAGGGGCATGGCTTCCAGGACTGAGGAGGCAATGGTCTCTCTGTGCTCTGTTCTGGTCATTTGGAGTATGGTATTCAGTTCTAGGTGTCACAGTTTAAGAAGGATACAGCTAAGCTGAGAAGAATTCAGAGAATGGCAATCAGGATAGCAAAGAGCCTAGCATCCATGTCAACAAGGATCAGTTGAAAAAGTGGGGATATTTAGACTGGGTAAGAGAAGACTGAGAACAGCTCTTTTAAACTACATGAGGCAGCCATGTTACATTCTAAGTGTCAAGTAATGTGACTGTGAATAAATAAGTGCACAATGAATCAAATTGATTCAAGAAGGACCACAGGGTGTTTTTAGTAACACAAAATATGTAGGGACCCAATTCTCACCTTCTGAATTCTGGCAACTAAGTACAAAATGCAGCCTGAAGGGAGAGTATAAGTCTAAGTAAACATTTACTTCTATTTTATTATATACAATCAATTCAAATGCTTTGGAATATATATGGAGATAGATTTTTGTTTCAATATTGTGGGCAAGAACCACATACATAATGAATATGGAATGTTTGAGACTTTGTATAAAGAAAGTGAATAGTGGGGGCAGCAGAGCCTTCCTAAAACACCAATAGAACATGATGTTCTCAAATTGCCCAATATTTTGAAGGTGATTTTTATGAAGCTTTGTGGGTCAAAAACTAGCAGAAAGCACTGTTTTTACATTACACAGACCAGTTTCTTCCATGTCATCCTACACAATGCCAAGAATGTACGTCTTGTGAAACATGGGAAAATTGGGATTACTTTATGATATATTAAAGTTAATAAGAACAAATGTAGGGCTATAATATAGAAAGTAAAGTTTTTACAGAATAAACTTAAATTGAAAAGGGGAATTTTCTTTGGAACATATAAGGAAGGAAATGAATACCTATTAGAACTGTAAGCACTACAAAATATGAATTTCAATCATGCCTTAAAAATGTTCAAACAGTAATTTTCATCATTTTGGGTTAGAGTTCAGGTTGTGTACTCCCCCTTCATATTTTAAAACAAGACTGTCGAGTTCTTTTTATTGGCAAGTACATTTTGAAAGGTCATTTTAGTAACAAAGGGGCATGTTCAAACATATAAGCCAATCCAATTGAGTAGCAAACTAGAAAACATTTTCATAACCATCTGGGGAGATAGTTTCCATTTTACAAAAATGTAATAAGAAAATAGCTTCTTATTTGGAATACCAAAACAGGTAAAAAAATTTTTTTATTAAAAAAAACCCATTACAACACAGCCACTAAATTATAGATTTTTGAGTCTCATTTGATGGTCCCATTTATTTCTAGCAATATCTAATCCAACTATTTTTTAGGAGAATTAAATAATTTGGCTAGGTCCTTGTTCCAAGCTTCTCAAGAATTTATTGGAATCAGATAAGATGTGTATATTTTGGGGTCTAAAAAGGGAAATAATGACAACAACCATAATCATATTTATATAGCACTTTAAGTTTGCAAAGTACATTACATGTTATATCATTTCGTCCCCACAACAACCCTGTGAGGTAGGTGCTATTATTTTCCTCATTTTACAGGTGTGAAAACTGAGGCTGGGAGAAAATAAGTGACTTGTCCAGGTCACAAAGCTAGTAAATAAGGCAAGATTTGAACTTGGGTCTTCTTGACTCCCAGTACAACATTCTACCTACTGTATCACCTAGCTGCAGGATATATATACTTCCTAGTTTATTCTATGAAGAGTAAGAAGATTTGAAATGATATTAGCCAGAGAGAGGTTGCTTATTGATAATTATAATAATTACTAATGAAGCTAAATTGTGAGGTAAGTAGAGAAACTTGAAAAAAACAAAGAGTTGTCCTAGCCACAAAAGTACAGCTTAGAGAAAGAGTCTATATAATACCAGCTCCAATTCCCCACCAAAAAAAAAAGTTTGATAAGGAAATAGAAGGAAGGAATAAAATAGATTAATAGACATTTGAAATGAGGTTGGAAATTAAAATGAATTTACTGAACGAAGTGAAATGAGAATTCAACGGAAGCTGTGTTTTGCTTAAAGACTGACTTGGTAGGCACAAACGAGGGTCTGTCCTAGAGCACTGATATCTGCTTAGAAGGGCCTCCATTAGAATAGTCACATACCAATTATGTTTTGTAGTTTTTCTCAAGATTAGAAGCCCAAAGTACTTCTTTACTCTTATAGTAGAGAACAACTACTTCCTTATAAAATCTGAATACTTAAGCTTTTTTGTATATTGTTGTTGTTCAGTCATTTTAGTTGTGTCCAACTCTTTGTGAATCCATCTGAGGTTTTCTTGGAAAAGATATTGGAATGGTTTGCCATTTCCTTCTCCAGCTCATTTTACAGGTGAGAAAACTGAGGCAAACAGGGTGAAGTGGCTTGCCTATGGTCATACAGGTAGTAAATGTCTGAGGCCAGATTTGAACTCAGAAGTCTTCCTGACTCCAGACCCAGTGCTCTGTGCACTATGGTGACATCTAGTTGCCTTTTTCAATATGCCCAAGACAATTAATTCTTCTTTCAGCTTGGTCTATTACAGAAGATTTTATGTTTTCATTGCTCAAATGACTAATGACAGTGAAGAATAGAACATGCAAAGAAATATACTCTTAGAAGAAGGAAATGTGATTTTGTGAACATGAAGAACTCTGATTATGAGAATTCCCTTTGCCAGTAAAGATTGTGACTTATTCATGAATTACTAGGTAGGTCCTAGGCAGTTCCCCGAGGTATACAAGGGCAAAGCGACTAGTCTATAATCACAGTTACTAAGTATCAGAGGCAGGATTTAAATTCACGTCTTCCTGACTGCGAGCTAAGCACTAGAAGCATTTTATATTGCTGGTTTAATAATATAGCATTTATGCTTTAAAGAAAATAGCTAATGAACATTTTTGAGCATTGGTAAGTACAGATTAACCATCTGAAGTGTTCGCTTAGTCAGAGGAAGGGTAACTAAAGCTATTTCCTTCTCATTCTTACTTCAAACTTCTGCCTCAGTTCCATATTTCCTTCTTCATCTCCTTCTGGAATGGGCACATTGTAGTATTCACCTTCTTCTTGATTAAGCAACTTATACCTTTCAAAGAAATGGGAGAAAACTGTAAGTTCACTTATTCTCAAATCAACAACAACAGTTTATGCAATACCTCTTTTTCAACCAGTGATTGAACTGTTTCATAAAGGCAGTGCTTAATCAGATATAGCAAAACCAAGCCAGTTCTGTCTAGTCACTTTTGGAGGAGTTGTTTGGACCCTTTTGAAATGAGTTATTCTAATTCTCTATGTATGCAAAGCTTTAAGCCAAATAACCTTATTTGCATATATATTTGACTAGATGAAGTCTTACCATCCACTTGCTGGCATTTTCATAAGCTCCGATACCCCAAATGAAAGTGAGCCCATAAAATCATTTCTTGTTGTTCGATCCCAGTCCCAGATCTCGACAGATAGCCGTCTATCTTTATCTGTAGGTTTTAATTTGCTAGAAAGAATGAGAGGGGGGAAAAAGCACACACTCATCATCTCAGCATGAATCAGGGAGAAAATGGTCCCAATGACACCCCCAATTTCACTGCAGAGCTTCTCAGGAATAGTTTTTCTTTCTAGAGGTTAGAGAACATAATAGTGACATTCTGTTTATCCACTAACCTGAGAAGATAGCCACAGGTAGAAAGGCATAGGGATATTCTAAACATCAGGATGGTTTATAATAAATACATACAGGAAGGACACATTATTACAGAAGAAGAGAAGAGGTTTCTATTGTTGTTGTTTGTTCTTCTTTCTTGAAGAGGACCGTAACCTCAGGAGGTGATGGCATAACAGGCAAGGGAACTGGATTTAAGTTAGGGAGGGCTGTGCAAAGTCACCAGCCTCACTCTCTCCTCTGGAGCCATCTGGGTCCAGTGGCCAGATATAGATCAGGATGACTGGAGATGGTTCAGATGCAGCAGGAGACCCTGGCCTTTTTAAGTTAAGGTCTTTCCCAGGTCTCAGTTTGACTGAGGCAATGCCCATTCATTGATTAAGGTTAGGTAAGAAATGAGGCAAAGAATGACCTCTTTTTACCTAGAGAAGAACATGAGGGGTTTCTACTTACAATGTGAATGACTCATTCCACTGTGGGTTTAGTGTGGAGCGGATCGTCTTGGTTTTTTGTTTACTTTCATTCTTAGGGTCTGGGATAAGTTTCAGCTTCACATAGGGATCTGAAAGTCCATTTGGATCCATAGGGATTAAGTTTTTTGCATCTCGTACTATACAAAAAGAAAAAGGGAAAAAAAAGCAGATGTTAATAAAAGAGGCTGGCCATTGTATACACACATCTGATGATGGCAATCAAAGCCAAATGGAAGAAATGTCAAGTTAGGAGCAACAAACACGATGAATCTTTTAAAAAGTACTACTCAGTTCCATAGTCAGAGCTCATTCACACAGATGTGTAAAGACCAGATATTCCTATCCCCTCTCTATCTCCAAATCCAGGATCTCCCTTCCTCTACCCAGAGAGCTATAACTAGCAATTCTCTCTGAGTTGAGTACCACAAAATGGAATCAGGGGCAAAAAGTACAAAAACATTCTCAAATCTATATTTAGAAAAAAAAAGACAAATACAGTTGGACATGAGGGAATGACCTTGGAAAGAGGCTGGATCTCAGAATTAAAAGCTTGAGGGGAGAGACCCCGAGATAATACAAGGCTCCTGCCAGGGAGTGGGCTTGGTTGGGGAAGAGAGTTGGGGAGGAACTCATCTAGAGGTGATGTCTTACAGTGGAGTGGGGTGGGGAGGAATCACGTCATCCTGTAGTACATTTGTATTTTTAATAATTATTTTTGTTAATTAGGTGATAAGCTCTGTGGCTGCTACATACTGAAGGAGTATAAGGACTCTCCAAATTCTAGAACCTCTGAGCATAACTCTAGGCAGTTTGATATAGTGGATATAGAGTGTAAGACCTGGTGTTGGGAATGTCTGAGTTAAAATCCAGCCCAAGACATTTACCAACAATGGGCAAATCACTTAACCTTTTTCTGCCTCAGATTCTTCGCCTGAACAACAGGGATAACAATAGCACCTACCTCACAGGATCAAACGAGAGTTCTTAGCAAACTTTTAAGGCCTTTATGTTAGCTATTATTATTATTATGATTAGTGATTATGATTAGGCAGCTAGGTAGCCATAGTGGATACAGTACTAGACCACTTTAAAGTACTTCAGTCACGAAGAGCTAAGATGAAATTTCATTTCAAATACTTAATAGCTGTGTGACTCTGAGCAAGTCCTTCACTTCTATCAACCTTATTTTACCCCTTTATAAAATGGGTACTACTAGCACCATAGGGTTGTTCTTAGAAAATATATATAAAACACTTTGCAAAACATAAAGTGCTACATAAAATTATTATTATTATTATTCTCTCAGTGATAACTCTACTTAACCCAAAAATATATTTACAAACTTTCAATTCAACTAAATAAAAAGATTGGGTTAATAATCCCAACACAGAGAAACCTACATTTCTTCAGAACCAAATCTACCTTATATTTTAAAAATAATGACATCAGTGGCAATAAATACTTATAACCCAGTTTTTTTTTAAGACAAATGACAGAACACGAACACATTTCCTCAAATCACACTTTTTAAAAAAACTGAAATCTCCTAAGGAAACAAACAACGTCACTGTGTTTTACTTTTAAAGACCAAAGTTCATTCTGTACTTTCTAGTTTCATGGTTTCAGATGTCACAGACTGAAGATTCATCTGCCAGTTGGGTACACACATGGATTAAATCTAATGCTGGCATTCAGAAGCTTAAAAAAAAAAACTGCTCCATGCACCATTCAGCAAATGAATAAACTCCTTGAATCCACATTGGTTAATGAAAGACCCAAGTTCTATTAGGGAACTTAAAGGTAATAGCAGTAGTAGTAACAACAACAGGTTTGTGAAGTACAGTACATATATTATCATTTGGTTTGTACTGCCACTCTGTGATATGGAGAGCTTTTATAGAGTCTTAGAGGGCAAATGACTTGCCCAGTGTCAGATGTGTAAGGAGTGCCTAAGGCTGGATTTGAATTCAGGTCTTCCTGACTCCAGACCTAGCACTTTATCCATAATGCCACCAACTATAGTATGTCAGTCAGTCAGTAAACAATTATTAAGTGCTTACTATGTGTTGGGAACTATACTAAGCATTGGGAATATTAAAAAAAAAAAAGTCCCTGTTCTCAAGGACCTCACATTATAAATGAGGAAACAACATGGAAATAACTTGTTATTCAGTCATTTTTCAGTCATGTCCAACTCTTCATGACCCTGTCTGGGGTTTTCTTGGCAAAGATACTGCAGTGGTTTGTCATTTCCTGTTCTAGCTCATTATACAGATGAGGAAACTGAGGCAAACAGGGTTAAAGTGACTAGCCCAGGGTCACACATCTAGAAAGTGTCTGAGGCCAGATTTGAACTCTGGAAGGTGAATCCTCCTGACTCCAGGTAGGGCACTCTAGCTACTGTGCCTCCTAGCTGCAAAAAATCATTATGTACATACAAGACATATGCAGGATAAATTGAAACCAATCAACCGAGGATATCCAAAGTTTTAAAAACTGTACATCTAGCAGTAAAGTAAGTGTGTGTGTGTGTGTGTAACTCTGGGCAAGTCCCTAAGTTCCTTAATGCTTTAGGCAAGCTTCTAAAACAGGATTTTTTAGCCTTTTGTGTGTCAGGATCTCTTTAACAATGTGATGAAGTCTATACAGAACTCCTTGCAAAATACTGTTTCTAAATGCATAAAACAAAATACATAGGATTACAACAAAAGAAAATAATTATACTGAAATAGAGTTATCAACACATTAAAACACACCAAGTTCACAGAACCCAGGTTAAGAATGTCTGCTCTAAGACTACAAAACACAGGGTAGGAGCCAAACTGCCCTGGTTCAGGGAGTTTTCTCACCTGGTAGTTTCTGTGCCAATGAAATCACTGGTCCATCATGGTAAAAAAAATTTTCTACCTCCAGAAAAAGAACTGATGGAGTCTGAATGCAGATTGAAGCATACCATTTTTCACTTTACTTTTTTCATGTTTTTTTTTCCCTTGGGTCTGTGTCTTCTTTTACAACAAGACTAATACAGTAATATGTTTTGCATGATTGAACATGTAAAACCTGTATCAAATTACTTACTATCTCAGCAAAGGGGGGAAATGAGAGAGGGAGGGAGAACCCCCCCATTTGAAACCTAAATATTAAAAATTGTCTTTACGTACAACTGGGGAAAAATAATTAAAAAAAAAAATCACTGGTCCAGTATTTGTTCCTACCACACACACACACACACACTCTACCAATATATTAAGTACAAGTATTATAAAAACATACAAAAATAGAAAAAAGATGAAAGATGAAATATTTCAAAATAATTTTATTTTATTTAACATAAAAAACCCTTTTCCTTTTGCTCTCACTAAAATGACTGTATTTTTTAATGAGAGCAATGTGTTTGAATATGGCTCATTATTTTTTAAAACCCAGGTTTAGCACTTCATGATAGGGAGAGTCAAAGGTTTAGTTCCAACTTAAATTTGTTTTTATACTTGGTTTTAACAGCTCAAAAAGATACTTCACAAAGATATAGATATCCAAAGGGATGAAATGAATTACTTGTTGAGGAAATTAAATCATGATACTTATTTTTTAATCCCATCCAGAAATTATGCAAAGCTTTTGTTTAAATTTGGCTATACATTTCCATTTCCCAGAGATTAAAATAAAAGTTCTAGTATTTTCTTCCCGCACACTCCACTATGGAAACCACTGGTATAGAAAATCAGAGTCTCACTCCTTCTCAGAATGAACCAGACAAATCATTCAGTCACTAAGAGCAACTATGAAACAAAGGTTACACATGGTACCCTGGATGGGGTGCTGTACTGGTCAGAAAGACCTAATTTCACATCCCACTTGATCCTTACTAGCTGTAATGATCCTAAGCAAGTTGCCCAATCCTCTCTGTACCTTAGGCAATGCTCTAGGACCTATCTACTAAGCTTAGTTAGACCAGTTTAGATTTGTCTCTGTGTAGGGATTTCCACCGTTGTCAAAATCCCAGTGCCTTCCTGTGTTCATAAGTGGTATAGAGAACAATGTAATGTAACCTAGAGAGTGCTGAACTTGAAGTCAGAAAGCCTGGGTTCAGAAACTTACTAGCAGTAGAACTAAGTTACATAGGCAAGTTACATAATTTTTTTGTGTGCCTCAGTTTCTTGATGTATAAAATACTTATCATGATATTTGTACTACCAACTGAGTAGTGAGAAAAATGTTTTGTAAACTTCAAAGTGCTACATAAATGTGAGTCATTATTACTGTTGCTGCTGCTGTTAAATATAGATCCAAACCATTTATTGGGAAAGTCATTTGGGTAAACCATTCCTCTTTACTAAGTCTGGTTTTCTTCATCTGTAAAATGAAGGGGCTACAATAGATGATTGCTAAGGTCCCTTGCTAACTCTAGTATCCCATGATTTTACTATTCTAAATAAGGATATCGCTCAACTTCTGGAGCTACATGAACTTTGCGGGGCATAGAAACTCCACATACCTCTTCTGGTCTGTTAAGCAGAACTTTGTCTCCAAAGAGTTGGTACATTTCCCCTAATACCAATAGATCATAGACTGAGAGTAGGAAAGGAAGCTGGTGATTATCTACATGGTATAGCAGATCAAGCTCGGGACCCAGAGTCAGCAAGACCTATGTTTTAATCTGGCCTCTGACACTTGCTCACCATGTGGCCCTGGGCAAGTCACTTCACCTCTGCTTGCTTGAGTCTCCTGGTGGGGATAATAACAGCAACTACCTTCCAGGGTTGTTGAAAAGGGAAAATGAGATAATATTTGTAAAGCACTTTGCAAGCCTTAAAGTGATATATAAACGCTACCTAGTGATCACCTTGTTAAACTTTCATTTTAAAGCTAAGGATACTACACCCCAAAGATATTTAAGTAACTTGACTAAGGTTATACAGGTAGAATCTAGTGGTGGTGGTGTAGTAGTGTAGTAGTAGTAGTAGTAGTAGTAGTAGTAGTAGTAGTAGTAGGAGCAGCAGCAGCAGCAGCAAGCAGTAATTAACAAAGACTGACATTTATATAGTACCTGCTCTGTGCCAGGTACTATGCTGAGTACTTCCTAATGATTAATTCATTTGATCCTGACAACAACTCTGAGAGATAGGTGTTCTGTTTT